AGAAGCCTAGTAGGTATATATCAGTGGAAGCACCCAATATGCTTGATGGGGGTACAAGAAGACTACTTCGTTGTTTTTGTTGCAGACAAATTGGTCATTATGCCAATGAATGTCCCAATCCCAGAGCCAATGACAATTATGCATCAGTTTGTGGAAATTACAAGCAGTCAGGGCATACGTATCAGTAATGTAATGCTCCGTTCAATTTTAATAATCGAAATCCGCAGATCCAAAGCCAAGAAAAAATTGAGGAGATAAATCGAGGTCCTTAAGATTCTCCAATAAATTGGGTGGAATGTGTCCAAGCCGTTCTTACCGGGAGTCAGTAAAAGGGAAAAGGACCAATTCAACATTTGGATAATCTCGATGCAAAAGACCAATTTGATCCAATTAGGGGACCATCCAATCCAAGTCCTGTTATGGGCTTCATATCCAATATGAGACCTAATTCGGTGGCACAATCCAATGAGGTCTCAATTATGGAGGCTTTGGTTTCGTTCCAAGCAGTTTCGATTTCTATGCAGTTTTGAGAAACATCCTATCCATTGAAAGATCCTCTCGGGGGCGGGAATTCCAAGGAAGCCCCGACTGCTATTCCAATTCCGAGTCCAAGGCGAAAGAATATCTTACCTCATGGAGTTAAATTCAAACCAATGAAAAGAAAGAGGGCATTGGAAATTACCCTAAATATGGAATCCTATGATATTTTGAAGGATCTGGATGCTATTCACCCTTCTATTTCTATGAAGCAACTTCTAGCGGTTGCACCAAAGTACCGTTCTACATTGAATTCATCGTTAATATGGCAGAGGCACCGTAATAAAGAAGTTTGTGAAGTCAATTTGAACCCTGGCCTAGGTGCACCAACCATCAATGTTTCGATTGACGGTATTATGATCTTAGGTATTCAGATGGATGGTGGTTCCAGCGTCAATTTAATGAACGCTGATACAATGGATGCTTTAGATTTGGAATAAGTAAAACGAGCAATCACATTCTTCATCATCTTCTTCAACATCTTGATTGTCTTTATTGTTGGTTTTAGCATTTATAGATACCTCATGATCTACCTTCTTTAATTCTTCATCTTGATTTGAAATTCCACCATCTTCACTATCATTATCATCTTCTTCTTCTTTCATTGCAGGATTTAAAGATGTGTCCATAAATACACCATTACTCCAACTTAAATACATCTCCAAGTGCTCACAAGTACTCTTATACTCCAAAGACTCTACATCATAACTTTTAATGATTTTCTTGATTTCTAAACACATTAGCCTATATGCCTTTATATCTTCATAATATCCAACAAATACACATTTTGTTCCTTTTGCGTCAAGTTTAGACCTCATGCAATCTAATTTCTCTGCACAAGCAATGCATTCAAAGATCTTCATGTATAAAACATAAGGTTTCTTTCGACTCCAAGCTTCTTGAGGGGTCATTGGTGTAAGTGTACTTATTGAACATCTATTCTTTATATACACTACATTGACCATAGCTTCTGCCTAATATTCATGCCTAAGATTTTGTGTATCAAGCATATTCCTTGTCATTTGTACAATGGTGAGATTTGTTCTTTCAACAATCTCATTTTGTTGTGGAGTGTAAGGAGTAGAGGTTTGTCTTACAATGCCTTGATTTTTCAAAAATTCATGTGCAACACTTTCATCTAGCACTCACATTGCTTCTCCACAAGTGCCTTGAATTCTTTAAACCTTGAGAAATACTCACTCTTGGCTTTAATGATGAATATCTACACCTTTCTTGAAAAATCATCAATAAATGTAACAAAGTACCTTGCTCTTTCAATTAATTGTGTCTTCATTGGTCCACAAACATAAGAATGAACCATCTCCAAAACTTTTCTTGCATACGTTGCAATTCCACTTGAAAATGAAGCTCTTTATTGTTTGTTTTGGATACAACCTTCACAAACAAGTATCATAGCATTGTAGCTGAATTCACCAAGATCCAAGCCACTTACCATAGATTGGAACTCTTTCATGCTTTAGGCATTTGAATGACCAATTTATTGATGCCAAATGCCAAACTTGTCTTGATTTTGTGGAAAATCAACATATGCTGCCACTTCAACTCTATTGACCTTCTTACAATTGATGAAATAGAAGTTGCCATCTCTAAGGCTTTTAGCAACATGTTGTCAACTCAATGTCTTCACAAAACATCTATCTATGTGAAATTGAACTTCACAATCATATGATACAAGTTTGTTCACCGAAATAAGGTTCTTCTTTATCTTTGGCACATATAAGACTTCTTTCAATCTGATCCTCTTGATTTGGTCCTTCACCACAATCTCTACTACAATGGAGCCAATTCCAATGGCTTGCACTATACCATTATCTTCCAACCATACTTTTATTGTTGAATTTGCTTCATAAGTATGAAATAAATACTTGAATGGTGTCATCTACTTAGTGGCACCCAAATCTATAATTCACTTAGATATGGCAGCCATGGAGGCTCCTTTACTTGCCATGAAAGTATAATCATCTCCACTAAAACTATCACTAGCATTATTTGTATTTTTCTTATCTCTTTTTTTGGCCATGTAGCAATTTCTAGTAAAATGACCTAGTTTTTTATAAATATAGCAACTCCTTATGTTGTTTTTTGAATTATCACGTTGGTATAGAAAGCTACCATTGCCTTGTCTTGAGAATAGAGCAGAATCATTACTTTGAAGCTCCTTTTTTTTCCTCTTGGTTACTTCATATACAAGTCTTGATATTACATAATTCATGGTAAGCTCCTTCATATTGATAGACTCCAATGCCACAATGAGGTAGTTATAAGACTCGGGAAGGCTTATGAATAATGTCAACATAATTTTTCTATTATCAACTGGCATATCAACAACTATTAGTTGGTTTGTAAGTACTTTTATCTTATTGACATGAGGCATGATGTCATCTCCTTCTTCCATCTTTACCATTAAGAACTTCCTCCTTGTTCATAGAATATTAGCAAGGTTTCTACTCTCATAGATATTGCAAAGAGTCTTTCATGCTTCCATTGGTCCATTGCAAACAATTACATGTGAAAAATTGGCATCATCAAGATTTATTGCAATCATACCAAAAGTCTTTTTTTCACGTCCTTTATACTCCTTCTTCACCTTGACATCAGCATCATCACTAGGAGGCTCTTCACTTTCATCAAAAATGTCCCAAAGGTCTAATGAAGCCAGTAAAAGCTCCATTTTCTTCTTCCAGTGATAGAAGTTGTCACCTCTAAACTTCTCAATCATTCTCAAACCTTCACCCTCATTTGAAGCAATCTCTAAAAAAGGAATATTTCAAAAAAAATCAAGAAAAGAGAAGATAGAACTCTAAAAATCAACAAAAAGGTGTTGCTGCCTTAGAATTCCAAAATATCCTCTTTCTAAGTAAACTAGTGATTTCACCCTTTAATCGCTCTAAACTTCACTTATAAGACTTCTCACAAGTCTTACATACTATCAAAACCTCTCTTATAACTTTTTCCACTCTTTTATCACCTCTAATGTCTCATAACACCTCTTTTGTCTATAAGAAGATCTATTAGGAACTTAAGGACATGAAAGTTCAATGTTAGTATATCAATGAAGTGGGTTAGCAAAGAAATACACCACTACTGTTCTAAAAAAATATTTTAAAATGTATAACAATCTCCAAGTCCATAAATGCACTTAACAACAAGTACGAACATAACTACATCAACAACAAGGTATAAAAAGAGATTTAGAAGATACCAAACTCTAACATTAACAACAATCATAAAATCTACTACTCATAACAACAAAAAAACTTCAAAGAATTTCAAAACTCACAACTAAAGGTGAGTGGGCCCATAATCTATTAAAGAAATAGAATTCTGAATTCACAACACATAACATCAGCAAGGTTGCATACTAAGAGAATATGGACAAAGATATCTCCTACTTCTAACATCCAATAGTTATAGGTTGTGGTTGCTACCAAACAAGACAAGTTCCATTCATTAACTTTTACACAAATAATCCTAGGCCCTAGGATCCTTTGATATCTAATGTACCTCAAGGATATTCAATGCTCCTTAAATCCTTTGGCATCTTATTAACCACAAAAATGTTCCATGCAAAATATTAATTACTCTTAATCTTTGAATATCCTCTAGTACTTACTCTATCCTCTTGATTTTCATTCTTGGTCTTTATCCTCGTCTTATATCCATAAAATGCTCTTTCTATACACCAAGAGTCAATCCTTTGACCATTAGAAACTTACTTAAGATAACATCTTCTACAAGGTTACTTATTATACTTTCACTTTTACTTCAACATGGCTAACAAAAGCAAAAACAACAATTACATGACCATATTGTTAACAAATAGATGTTATTGATAGAGCATATAGAGGGAAAAAGAAAGAGAACAACTTTCAAACGAATTATAAATTTCTCCCAAAGACAAAATCAAATTGATTAAGGTTTAATATGCACCTTGATGACTACTAAGATCTATGCAACAGATAACCACTTTCGTGTGAATAACAAAACAAAGAAATAAACAAACAACACAATTGAAATTTGTCTGAAGCAAGCCGCATTGAATATAGACAACCAATGTCAATTACTCAAATCCTCGGAACACAGCGAGAATGACGCCCCAGACATAAAGCAAAAAAAGCCAGCTTGCACTCTTAAAACAATACCGCCAAAGCCCAACGGTCTCACTAACAAAAACCATCATGAAAGCCAAACAGAGCACAATCATCAAAAGTCCAAAACCAGCATGCTCGTCTACACTATCAGAGATCAATAAGCCGTCTGAGGCTTCAACCTTCTGCAACCAATCAACTCATTTGCAAAGCCCTAGGACTGCTCGGAAACACCACTTCTATACAACTCCCACGGCACCACACCGACGACCCCCGAACCACCCATCCCAGCCGACACACACCATGAGACACGGCCCACCCTCCCCACCACAACTCCACAAATGCACACACAAGTCTCACCAAAACCGTTGCCATCATTATTGTACTATGAACATCAATTCCCCTCCACCTAACTGCGCCCATGAAATGAATTGTTCCCGCGCACAACGGGCGGAAAATCATCATCGCCATCGATCAATTTTACATGCCGCCAATGTCAATGTCTGGGGGCCTCGTACCGTATATCTCTGTATCAACACTTACCATCTGTAGAACTGTGCTAAATATCGGACCCACTTCCCTCCCCTTTTCTTTCACTCAGGGTAGAGAGCCAAAAACCTTGTTCACACGCTGAACCGCACTCCAAACGACGCACGTCGATCATCTCCCCCGCAACTATTCGACGGCCCGAGTGCTCAACCTGATTGCCTTTACACCATTACCGATCTGATCTGTCTTCCTACCCTAACTACCGCCCATTCCTACTCTCTACCTCATTCTCATTCGTTCCACGAGTGCGCAAAAATGGGACCCGACCCCATGTGCCCACCCATGCTCAAGTTCGACCGACCCGCCAGTCCCTGCACTGTCGCCGCATTGCTGCTGATCCACGGCGACATCGGGTTGCTCTCCACATAGCTTCCCATCTTCCCTTGCGACCCCGACCCTGGCGACATGTACAAAATTCCGCTCCGGGATAGCTCCCCCTGCAACACCGGATCGTACGCCGAGCTTTTCGAGCTCGCCTCCTCGCTCTCGCCCACCGAATTCTTCGGACTGTCCACCACAGCCCCCCTGTCCACGCTCCCTTGCCCCCCCTGCCCCCCCTGCTGCCCCTGCTGCTGGTACGCCGAGTTGCTCATCGGTGGCGAGTTCAACGCCCTCCCGTCGCCGCTCTGGTATGCGCTCGATCCCCCGCCCTCGAACCCTGACGTGCTCATCATGCTCCCGGAGCTCGGCATTCCCTGCCCCAGTAGTCCCCCGTTCCCGGAGCACGAACTCTCGCCGCCCCTTCTGTTCTGATCCTGTGGCAGTGCCTCCAATCCCATCAGGTTCCGCAGCAGCATCCCGTTCGTCGGCGGCGGGAACTTCGATTGCGTGCTCGGGGCCCGCATCGAATCCACTCCGAATCCCAACCGTGCCCGCTGGCTCTCCTCCCGCGAGCTCGATTCCCAGCTGTTTCGAGCCTGCTGCTGATACAGCATCTGCCACTCCATCAGGTTTTTCGACAGCCCCCCTTGACCCGACAACACCTCCGACGTCAGCTGGCTCCCCGGCCCGCCCGTCGAATGGGTAGACGTCTGCTGCTCTTCGTTCACCTGACTCTGGCTGTGGCTGTGCATTTGACTTGCCGTCGCACCAACTCGGGACTGCATCGCCGCCACCTCCGCTTCCTTCGCCGCCTTCATGGCCTCCGCTCCATGATGCCCACTCGCACCTGCCTGCTGGATCCGACCGGCGTCGTACCGAGAGATGTCGAAGTTTGTCACGGCGTTGATTCCACGGAATTTTATCGCCGCCAGGTCGTATGCCTCTGCTGCTTCCTCCTGCGTGCCTGACTCACACACACCCACGCCACGCCGACCGTTGGATCAGATCCCCACGTCTGCTGCAACTGCACATCTCCCTCCACATCCCAACAACACATACAAACCCCCTCCTCCTCTGCAAACCCCCAAGTCAAACTGCCACTCACTGTAAGTGCCCAGGTACAGGTCCTTGTTCCCGGCCACGCGCCCAATCCGTGCCTGCCACCTCCCGTGCTGATGGTGCCTCGTCACCCCTCGGTACATCGATGCCCCTCGAGAAAACCCGCTGCTTTTCCTGCCCACACCACGTTCCAACAACACTTCCACCACTTCAGAACCGCGCTCATCGTCGCCCCATTCTCCCACTCCGCTCCGCCACCTTCCTCTGCAGCGCCCTCGCCGCACACCCGCACCCGCTTCCCGCGTCCCACAATCTCTCCTCATCTATTTCTGGACCCTACACCCGCACCAACGCACATTCACACTCACACTCACCATCACAACCTCCCCACTCTTTACCTTCTCAACGACGCCACATACTCCTGCCGAGACATGTTCTTCATCTCCTCCAGCTCCGCCTCATACGTACTCAACTGTTGCACACCCATCCACCATTCCACGGTCATCAGCACCGCACCCAACCCATCCCTGCCACTCCGCCCCTCAACTGTCAACCGCCTCAAACCCCATCTCACCACACCACTCATCACGTACCGGGAAGTTGATGGTCGTGTTGGGACCCCAGTATTTCAGTGCCGCCAAGTCGTACGCCCTCGCCGCTTTCTCCTCTTTGTCGTAGCCTCCCAAGTACACTGTTCCACATCTCGCAGTTCACCCGCACCGTTAGACTCGCCACAAACCGCGCACCGCAAAACAATCACTCCGCATCCGCGCATCCTCACATTCTCCAACACCTCACGCGTTCCACTCAACAACCTCCAACGCCTCACACCAAAACCACCCTCTCTGCGCTTCACAATTTGCACGTCGTACCTTGCCGTCCCTTCCGAGTCTGCCCCTCCTTTCTACAACTGTTGTCCCACAGATGAGCCTCGTACCGTCCAGTCCACCGATGCCTACCATCCAATAACACAATGCACTCCAACGTCCTCAGACCACAAATCAGATTCCCCACACCCTCCGCACCCACCACCTTCCTATCCGCCCCACCCACATCCACTGTCAACCAACCAATTCTGCCCCGCCTGCACCCATTCCGCCCCCTCCCATCACATGTTTCCCTCCCAACTCCCACTGCAACACATCTGCGACCGACCCTCACTCGCTCACAACATACAGCTCGCACCCATCCACACCCACCTAGTCACGCCCCTGTACACGGATGTTCTCTGCCCAAACGTGTCGATGGACTTGCGCGGGGATGGCTCCTTGCTCCCAGCTCGCCCGGCGCCGCGCTTTCGCGGCTCAGGCCCCGTCGGACTCTCCGCGATCGGTAGCTGTCCGCCGCCGTGCACCGCAGCGGACCCGTTGCTCTGATGGGACCCGGCGCTCATGGACAGCGTCAGAGGTTGCAGCCCACTCAAGCCGTTCAGCACCCTCTTCTCCGCGGCCGCCTGATGCCGCAGCCACGTCTTCAATCCATAGTCCTCGCTCCCCGGATTCGGTGAACCTCCCGACGGCAGCTGCAGCGCGCAATCCGACAACAGCTCCGCAGTCGCGGATTGGTCCAGTGCCGCTTGCAGGAGGTTCTGCGGGTGCAACCGGCTGCCTGCCAGCAAATTGCTCTCCTGCAGCTCGTGCTGCACTCGGGACTGCTGGTGCTCGTACCCTTGCGGGTTCGTCAGGCTGGATTGATCCTGAACCCTACCGTACGCCACGTGATACGACGAGGGCACGTCGTGCAGAGACCCTCCGCCCGTCTGAGATGAGTATGGCAAGTTCACGTTGATGCGCGACTGCCCGTCGCGCCCGTAACTTGCACCCGGGTTTCCGGCGTTGTAGTACAGCGAGTCCAACTGCTGTTGCTGCGCCTCCCGGTCCGAGTATTGTCCACCCAACGACGCGCCGCCCAGAAAGTCCTCCAGCTTCGGCCCGTCGCGCGTCTCCGTACCGCTGCTCTGCAGCTCGTAGTGGCTGTGGGAACCCGTCAACTGCTGATCACCGGCGCCTCCGTTGCGCGTCAGCCTCGACAGCTGATCGGCCGTCAAAAGGGTATGCTGCTGGATTCCGCCATCCGACTGCATGCCGCGCTGCTGCGGCCAATGCTCTGCTGTCCACCCACAAGGACCAACACAACTCTCAACCATCAGTCTCCCAGGAGCACACGCAGACGTTAGCATTTGTGCCATCTTCGACTTACGGCACCTCACACGTTCAACTTGCACCTGGTAAGCGTAGACGTTTCATGATGTGCATAGGTGAGACCCAAGCACTTTCAAGTAAAATCGTGATACTTGGAGGATGACAACATCCTTGACCTGGACTCCTGAACAAGTGAGACTGTTACGAAGCCTGAGGCATGCCTACAAGGCTGAGAAGTCCAGGAACTTGACTTTACACAAGTTGTGGAAGCCAGTCGAAACATCAACCAGTCTTCTCGACTAGTGCGCAATGATGTGGGGGAGACTACTAGTATCGGCTTGAGAAGGACTTTTCGGCAATACGTTCTCCTAAAGCAGTAGCTGTAACAAATCCATCTCAGAGATAGAAGCAAACGGCTCATGAAGAGCATCTACACAATTTTCATAGCTTCACAGGATCACGAAGGACAAATCCGTCCGGGGTGCAGATACTATCAACCGCGTGGATGGAGGAGCAGATAGCATCGCTATTGTTACTAAGCCTACATGATGCTCGAACTCAAGAGGTAGTTCTGCGAGGTGGAATGAAGCTAAGGAGGTCACAATAGCAAAGAAGGAATCGTCAAGTGATGCGTATGTGTTGTCATTTTCGCCATCGCTCTGTTTTCGAGCATTGAAAAGGTCTTCATAAAGGAACAGTTACTAGATTCTGTAAGTGCAGTGGGTTGAAGGGTAACTATTCATCGTCCGTATAGATTCTAAGAAGATCCCTTTGTTGACTATGTCAACGCCTTAAGGAGCGGTCGGAATAGGTCCGTCCTGTCTCAAATAGACACACTAGTGTGTAGCGAATGAACATTTACGCAGTATCTCAGAGCGTGTGTCAAATGCAAATGACTTGGGCCAATTTACCTGACCTTGTGTCATCCGTACACTCAAGTAAGCTAGATGGTATTTCTGTTTGTCTAGTAGCATTACCTTGTCCGTACAATGAGGGTTTAGAATTCGAAGTATTTGCTCTTGTATCCACAACAACAGGTTAAGCTGCTGAGTGTAAGTGAAATATCCTTAGCGATGGGTCCAACTGTCTACAATCGCGATTGATAGGATGATGTGATGCTCACTTTCTTACATGGGTCTCACCTCAAGTGCACAACCCAGTCACTCAGAAAGATCAACGTGAGAAGCTCAGGCTCATGCCATCACTGCGACCTTCCCGCAGTCACAACGTGTTGAGCGAGCTGTGACTTGGTGAGGTTTAGACACGAAAATGTCAGTATTTACTAGGATGGCAGGCTCCCTCGAACCATGTCAATATGGATCAGGTTAAATTGAAGGATCAGACCCTAATAGTGTAGTAATCGCCAGTATTCTTCAGTATAGTCATTTTCAGATCAACAAGAAACTGGAAAGGCATCGTCACTGCCAATACAGATGACCGACAGGTGTGAATATACAGGCGACGCATTTTCGAAGCTTCAGAAGCAACTGTCTGGATCACATTGTCCGGAGGTAGTGTTATTCTAGTCGTAAAATTGTAACCTGCATGACTTTGAAGTTAAAGGTAGGGAGAATAATGGCATTCTAACCTGCACTGTGCGACCTGCTGAGGGCCTCCATGATACAAAGGGATCCATCTGACCGCATCATCTCCAGGCCTTGGCCGGAAGTTGAGTTGCCACCATCGCTGCTGCTACGAAGAGAATTGTAACAATCGTTTGCTGAGTCTTGATAGCCCCCCAAGCTGTTGTGGTTGTGCGACATACTTGACAGTATGAGGCTATTTGTACTACGAACCTGGTGGTTGACGGGGTCAGCTAACTGCTTCACCGCGTCAAGGGCCAAATGAGGGGATTTTAGAGAAAACGTGAGCCAGTTGTTCATGGACTTCATGCATATCCCTGATCACTCAGTGTTTGCGAGGAAAAAGGCACACCGCCCTACCCAAACTGCACCAAGTGCACATGAGGCTCGCCGCTCTTGCATCAGGCGTTAGTTGTGATATGCCCTAATCGTTATGTTCGAAGCTGAAATGCCTTCAACCCGATACTGGCAGAAGCTTGTCACACACTCATTACTCTGAGCTTGTCCAGTGAGAGTAAGTGGAAGAACAAATCAAGTTAATGTTGGGGCGATACGAACTCGCTTGGGCTTGAAGTTCCACCTGAAATTGCGCGGTCTAAGTTGGCCTAACTAGTTTCCGGAGTCTTCGAGTGCTTCATATGAAGATCTTGTTAACTTGTTCTCTGTAAGCACGAGCGAGTGTTGTAAGAACTCTTCGCACGTGGTCTTTCAAGGAAGGCGAGAAGAGTGAGGTTCCTTTAGATATTCTTTGTAGCTGTCTTCCACTTGCTCCATGCTCGGATCGATGATAATGCACGAAACCTTCACGGTTGCAAGTGGGAAAGTGACCCGATGACCGAGAAGGACCTTCTGTATGCGCACTTAAGCTTCTATATTGATGCTACTCCGTGTCTTATTTGCACTAGGTACTTTCCTCAGGATGTTCAATCAGGTACTCCAAGTTTCTATGACCACTTAATAGCCGCAACTCGTGGCTTCAGATTCCAGTTTCATTACTTGGATCATGAAGGTACCGTCTGAAGTGTGATGATGACTACTGACAACGGGCATCATTGAGTCATCATCATGAGTCCTTGCCTTCTCTTCTTTTACAGCATCTCCACCCCGAAATGAATCTGCTTCGATCTCGGCCGATGTTGGGAGCTCCTAACTAATTACAAAGAATAGCCTTCGACTCTTGAGAGCGTGGACAGTCATTTGCACAACTCAACTCGATGCTCGAGTGCGCTTGCGTTAAAGACCATGCTCTCAAAATGACGCCGCTCAAAGAAATAGTTCTGTGTAGGTGGTACCACAACAAATTGAGATCGTCTGCAACTCAACATGCCCGGAGGACCTAGTTCGACCAAAGCCACTGAACCCATGTGGGTACCTCAAGGCTTTGTTCCGACGACTTCCCAAGGCCTGAGCATCTGCACAGCGAACCCCACACTAGCTGAAATCCCAGCTTTCCGTGTCTGTCAACAGAAGGTCCTGCAGGTTTTGCTCTCAGTCCCTTGTGCGCACTGACAAGAAGGCGCTCAAAGGGTTAGCTACCTGAATTACAGCATCGAGAACGAGGTAAATAACCTCATTGCACCGGAACAAGGATGAGACCCTGTGAACCCGGCGAACTTCTTCCACCACCTGCATGAGTTGTCAACGTCTCTAATTGATAAGCAACTGTCCAACTAATGACAACGCTCACTGCAAGTGTCTACCGAAGTTCTTGAGAAACACACGTCGCACATATCAAAAGGCCTGTGTCATTCAGCAACCTAGCTGTCCTGCTAAACAAGTTGCAAATATGATCCAGATGGTCATACTTGCTTTACTGTCGCTGTCCTGAAGAAACCAGAGGTCGTCGGGATGAGCCCAAAATCCCCAGTAGAGAATCCTGAGGACGACGACCCTCCCAAGCTATTACAGCGTGTGTTACTAGTTAACAGGAACGCAATCAAGCAGAGAGAGACGGCAGCCCTCTCCAGGAATGCGGTGCAGTCCCGACCGACCGGACAGAATGCACCTCGAAGTTGCGGAGGAGACGGAAAGGAACACCCGCGGTGCGGGTTGTGGATCGGGGTAGCAAAATTTGGGAGAATTCAGAAGCGTAGAAGAAGAGGATTGCGAGGCGTTGCATCAGTCTTGTAGTTGCGAAACTAACGCTGCAACGACGATGACGATGATGATGACGACGACGACCCGCTAAGAAAAGGGAACGTAACCAAAGAACCAGTCCAGACTGGCCTGCTTGCGTCTCTCTCTCCCTCCCCCCCCCTCTCTCTCTCTCTCTCTCTCTCACTGTGAGAACGTGTCGGTCTGCTGTGTCTCCCTTGTGTGCTTTGCTCTACCCTCGTCCTCCTGCGCACTCTGCTGGGCCCAGCTTTGCAAATGACGCAGGATTCCTTGCAAACTTTTACTTGCAGGAAAATTTATAAAGACACTCTCTCCGCCTCCCCATTGCGTCGTCAGTCGGATCCAGCCCTCGTCATATCTTTCTCGATCGATTCCTTTACAATTTATTGCGACAAACCCAACAGTGGCCGAGGCTTTTGAAATGCTCAGTTCCTGTGCAAATTGCCTCACATCAGACAAGGCTCTGTGTTACTCTCCTCCACTTTCCCTAGAGCCTGTCTGTCATAAATTGTTACTTCCAATGCTGATAATGATGGTGATGATGAAAGTACATTGTCAAGAAGAGGCATCTCACAAAGAAGTCAATTTTATGTAGCCTTGCTACATATTTTTCACATGAGAGGGGTAATACATGACATGACTGGAAAGTTCTTCAAATCCTAGTGGAATGTTTGGTGTGGTTAGTTCGACATGAACTGCTGTGTTCCACACCTAAAATGCAATGACTTGTCATTTTAATTCCTGAATAGAATAAAATGTTGGAATGTGAAGTGAATACACCAAGTGTCAGTGGTAATGATTATTTCAACCATTTGCATGTTCCACTTCACAGTATTCTCCAAGCTTCTTGCATGCACACACATAGACATTTTTTAATGTTAAACATTTAATTAAATATGTAACACTTGAATTTTTCCATGTGAATGATTTTTTTAAAAAAAACATAAAAACATAAAAAACTAATTGAGCTTGCACATGACATATATATTCATCTACATTATAGTTGCTTTATTAAATATTAAAATAAGAGAACATGTGATTCTCTTTTATTTTTTAAATTCAAGGATATTCTAACATTTTACCTACAAAATGTCCAATAATAACTCTTGGATGTTAGTTATGTAACAATAGAAATTTAAACAACCAACATTATATATATATATATATATATATATATACATACATTCGAAAATTTAGTAATTTTTTAATCATGGTTGTACCATGTTATCATTCTTGAAATTTGACATGCCAAATTACTTTTCTTCCTCTATCAATTACCATGTAGTTTTTATAAAAACATTTGTAAGATTTTCTTCTATCCATAATTAACACTGTGTATATTCTTACCATTATAAATCCATGTGTAATTTAGATTGCAGTATAATTCTTATTTGTGCTGTACTTTGATTAATAAAAAATAAAATGTATGCATTGCACAGCTACAGTCTTGCAAAACTTGCTCTTTTTTCAAAAAAAAAAAAAAAAAATGTAATGTTCATTGCCTTTGCTTTATCATAAAACATATTAGACATTAAACACCATCTGCAAGAAGATATACATCAAATTTCAAATGAAAAATTGAAGGTTTTTAAATTTTATCAGCAACTTTTGGAGGGACTAAAAAAGAGAATAAAAAAATGAGTGAACTAATGAATAATCACGAGATCCATGAAAGTATGAACGAATCATTATAAGTCACAAGAATGTAAATATCCATAAACAAGAAAAAAAATGCCAACTACGGTAAATTTTCAAATGCATGTAGTTCAGATAAAGTTAAATGTGATTTGAAATTATTACAACATTAGTGATTGAGATTGTTATTGTGATGCAAAATTCAACTTGAATCATTTTTTGTTTATAGATCTAAAGGTCACTCAAAAGCTATTTTCATTTGAAAAATAAGTTAATAAAACCTGCATACATTTCACATTAGTTGTAATATTTATTTTTTCACAATATTATAGAAATTAAAAAATTGAGCCTAGGATTTCTACCTAATTGCAATATTCTCTTAAATGTCATATGATTTTTCTTTTCACAAAAACAGCAAGATCTACTCCAGTTTTTCAACATTACAATAGAATAAACTGAAACAAAACATATTATTGGATGAGTGGAATTTTTTTCATTTGAAATTAAATATTTATGCAGCTTTTGAAATATTTTTGCTGTGATGTATTCAAAATTAATCACTGGATTCAACCTTTTTTCAAACTGCACTTTTATAAGCTACAATTCAATTCAAACTTTTGTGATCCTGTATAAATTATCGATCCATTGCATTATATATATATATATATATATATATACATTCCTTGTTCTAAAATAAAAATAAACCATTGAAAATACATACTCCATTTGAAACTAAAATAAAATCTGAAAAACCTACTAAATTAGCATGTTTGAATGTTTTGCACTCAGCATCAAAAAATGCCATTTTGTATAATTATTCATTGAACTAAATTCTATGTATATTCTATCATTCTTAGTGCCAAATTAATTGTGTCATAGAGAATACAATGTGGTGCCTATATCACCATTCAGTGCAATATGCTTCAAAATATACAATATTAACATTGGTAAACATAAAAAGATTGCAGACATAATTCCAACTTTTTGGCTTTTGATTTTGCAATTGCTACTCACCAGTTATTAGTTTTAATAATACTAGTTGACTAAATATTTCTATTTCACAATATTTTCGTATGATGTGATCTCTCGATATAATAAAAACCTTAAAAAATCAAATACAATATGGTATACAGCATTAACATCAATGAGGATCAGCCAATCACTGTTATACCCAAAAAGAATCCCATTCTGCATGTAATGTTCTGAGTTAGAATTTTAAGTGCACAAATGGCAAAGTAACCTACAGACCAATCAATGGGTTACAATATTTGTTAACAAATCACAAGAGCCATGAGTTAATGAACTTGACCAAACTTTAATTAATTTGTGTTGACTCCTTTTAGCAAACAAGAATAGTTTGCTCTTTGAGGGGAGAAGGGAGAGATGGAGAGCTTTCTTTCCCTGATGGGGCCATCATCTGTTTTTGTTCCATCCATTGTCCAAAGTTTCTCTATCCCTTGGACAAGTTTTGGAATAATGGAGGGGGCCCCTCGTTCCCCTTTTGTTGTCGTCTGCCTTCAACAGCATGTCCTTGACCTTAATTGGGGGTTACCAAGTGAAGAGGCCATCAAATCCACAACCCTAAAAAGGATTCATGGACTAGTCAACAAGGAAAATAAAATAAAAAATACACCAAGCCTGGTCCACTTTTTGAATTCTGGAGCCCCCAACTTGCATTTCTGCAATGCACTGATGACAAGCTTCTTGTAAAAACCTTTTTTGCATATCCCAGGAAATTCAATCCTTTTATTAATTAATTATATGAAGAGAAAGGAAACGAATGAAGCTGATTTTAAGGAGGGGAGAGGGGGGTATTCATATACCATTCATCAATAGAAAGAGCTGGGACATGGAGATATTATTTTCCTTGCCTTCGCCGATCATAATGTTCCAAATATATAAATAATCGAGGGACAAAGAATTAGTATGGTCATTCATTCCTTGATATCTTCCTCTCACACCCCCACCCCCATTTAAAAAAATAATCGATGCAGTAGAGGGAACTGGGAATTGAAGAGTGGAATTTAGCAGAAGTTTCATCGGATGGATGGATGAAGTGTGGGTGGGTCACGCTCAATCTGGGCCGAAGGAAGGCGGTGACGTGGCAGAAGAGGTCGGGAAAGAGGGGCCAGGAAAGGGAGGGACGGGGACGGGGACGAGGGGCGACTGGATCTTCCCTCCCACGAGGCCAAGTTTCTCCCGTCGGGTAGCTCTCTATTTAGGGTTTCAGTAGCTCTTTGTCCACCTACATTACTTAAAAGCAATGGTGGCAAATTTGTATAATAATAATATTCTTTATCCCGGGGTCAGTTGAAAAATTCCATTCAGCCCCCAAAAGGCTGGGCATTAATCACGAGACCGGGCCATTGAACTGTTCAAAATCATCCCTCAATAGTAGTTGCAGTTGCACAACAACAACATCCCACAAGTCGACGAACCTCCTTCCCTCCCTGCACGACCTATTCCCGTCCTCATGGGTTCGTTCGTTCCCCGAGTGCTGTTCCCCACATACGTTCCCATAACGCCTCATTAAAACGACAGGGAATCCATTTGGATTCTTCGCTTGCTGTGCGTCGATCTTTATCTGATCGACGGCCGGGGTGGATGCGACCAAGTCTGAGATGGGGCAACATTCATCCACTGAGAGCCCCCCAGTCCAGCACCTCATCATCGATGACATTCGTCAACAAGAGTGGGACTGGGTGTTCCCGGTGTTCCCGGTGGGCCCTTTGGGGTTGCCGCCCATGCCTCAATTTGGACAAATTGCCCGAGGGACCATTTCTTCAATTTTGTTCCATAAAAGCCAAATTTTAGAAGCCTGTGAGATGCCCTGGGATACTGACCGACTTTGTTGCTTCATCTATTCATGTTCATCAATTTTCATGTGCCCATTTAATAATTGCATTTCAAGGAGCAGTTCAAATTTCATGTGTTTCATTCAAATCAAAAAATCTAATTGTTTTATTTGAACAGCCCAATAATACAATAAAGCCTCTACCAGTTAACTTCCTGTAAAGCGGTGGAATGAATCAACTAAGAGCAAGATGTGCTCCTCCTGTTGCAACTAATGGAGAACCTGTACACAGTGATATGCAAAACTTATCAAAAATTAGTTTCAAAGCTGAAATCTTGGCGCAATACTAAATGGTTGGAATTCTCAAACTCTACACCATTTTTTAAAACCCTCTTAAGAAAGAGTTTGAATTCAAGTTGTATCATCACTACCAATGCTTCTCTTGCCCACTCAGCCCTCCCTCCCTCTTTTTCTATTCATAATAGTAAAGGAAACCCACTGTTTCAGGATATGTGTCATTTACAGTATTCTCAAGTTTCAAAATTTTAAAGAACAATCTCAAAACACATAAAATCTGTCAAATAATTTGGCAATAGACTGATAGGTACAATTTAGAGCAAATTTTGCAAACAGCTTTTGCCAGGACCACAGGAGGAGCACCCTGTAGGGATGGCAATGTGCATGCTGTGCCACCTCAGTGTGGTGTTGTTACCCTGCCACTGGAGAAATCACCT